TTCATGTGACGGAGAAAGCGTACCTTCCTGGGAAGAAGTGGATTCCAGATTTGACAAAGAAAATGTCAGTCCTGTCAATGTCTGACTCAAGGGGCTACATTCACAACTGGAGGTAAAAAGGAAAGCCCCCTTCAAGTCAAGCCGAACTCCTAGTGACTTTGCTGGGAGAGATTTCAGGGAAGCTGGGAGAGCACTGGAAGATATAAGCTGTCAAAGACAGAGTCCATTGGTAGCTCATCTCATTAACAGCAACTCAGCCAGTTGGCAAGAAACTTGGGAAGAAGCATTTCGAATAATTTGGAGAGGCTCTGTCTTAATTAACTCCCTATAAATGAGGCTGGGAAATTCCTCTTGCAATTTCCAAGATTTTGTCTTTACCATAAGACTATAATTACAGAGACCTTCTTGAAATCTGTAATTCTTGCTCTCTTGGTCTTGGCCAACTACGTGGGGCTTGGCAGTTGGCAGCTGCCTTCATACACCGCACTTCCTCTGGCTACTGGCTCTGGGCATTCATTCATTCATTTATTTATTCATTCATTTATTTATATATCAAATTTGCCACCGCCCATCTCACTGTGGAGTGACTCTGGGCGGTGACCAATTTGAAATATAAAAATTTAAAATATTTAAATATTTAGTTTGCCCAGGGCCATGAAGAAAGAAACCATGCTTAAAATGAACTGTGCCCAGCATGTAGTGCAGAGGCAGCCCCGAGTTCTTTTACTGGCCCTGGCAAGCTTATTGTGTGAACACAAGCATGGGATGACCTTGAGTGAGTCACCATCTTGCAGACACAAGGAACAGTTTGTCTTCCTATATGTGGACTCCCTTAAGAAGCTTCTGCAAGGATGTGAAAACCTGGCCCCGGGACTGAGTAATCAGGAGACTACGTTTGGGGGGCCCTGGTAGAAGGTGCCATTATGGTGATATTGAGGGTTGTTTTTTGCTGTTTTTGTTTATGATTTGCTGGTTGGAATGGAACAGCTCAGAAACATTAGTAATGAATAAAAATAAGCTAACCTTCTCTGCAGGTTGGAGTGGGGGTTAAAATTGGGGGTTTGATATACCTTGGATATCTTAGTTTCTTTGGAGGAAATTAAGACCTAAATGTGACAACTAAATAACAGATGTTGGCAGGCGCAGATTGAGTCAAGCCCAAGAAGCAATCTGAGTGCTCTGTTCAATTTGTGCAAATGACTTAAGTTTCCATAATTTGTCTTTTCTTGGCATCATTTTGACTTATCTTTTTTTTAAAAAAAACACTGAATTCTCACACTGCTGCTTCCTTTTTATTCCCACATGTTTGCTTCCAAGCAAAGAAAAAATATGGGGGAAATGTGAACGTTACGAGTAAAAGAGAGGCTGATGCAAGAAAATTTTTCTTGACTGAAAAATAACAGAGATTCATGTACTTTGAAGACGAACACCTGATCAGCATATAAAGTATCCTAGATGCCAACCACTTCATCATATTTTAGTGATCATTAAATGTGTCCGTCTTTCAGAGCGACAGTAGTTGTGCCAGTCCGTTAAAAAAAATGCGAAGTCCAACATTGGCTGATACCTTTATTGAGACTAACGCAAGATTGCATAAAAGATTGTGCAAGCTTTCAAGTTCTTTAGAACTTAAAAACTTGCAGATTCTTGAGCCATTTTGGTTAGTCCCAATTAAGACGTTCCCCCATACTTTTAGTCTTTCAGGCTGCTCTCCCCCAATCAGGACCCCATTTCCCATCACTCCAGTTAATAATGTATGATGCATAATGTATGAACCCTAGTCCAAGACATCTGAAGGCTGCAATCAGGGCTACTGAAGTGTTGGTTTGCTTGCACTCTACACAGCTACTCTCCA